CCCCTGGGCTAAATAGTCCTTTATGGCCTTACTATCTTTTTCTAACTTATTTCTTGCACTTATTTAATTTTGAACATTACTTTTTCCATGTGTGGAGCTACCCATGTGTGCTAGCAAAAAAGGGGTTGGGTGGAGACCAACTCTACATTCCACTGTTCATCACCAGATGGTGCAAAAGCGCAAGATCCAGACATAAAGCATCAAATCTAAAAGTCCTTTACAGAGGGTTTTTTATCATTATTATTATTATTATTATTATTATTAGTATTATTATTATTATTATTATTATTATTATTATTTAACTAACTTTTTAAATGTTTCACACATTAAACATTAATGCATGAATGGATGTGTATTTTAAAATGAAATACTAGAAGACATTGTTAATTATTAACAGCTTAATTATTGTGCTTTGTATATGCTACATGTATATATAGTACATGCAGTATGACAGGAACACAGAGGTTTAGTGCCAGACTTCACATAAAAAGTATCAACTATGTTAGGATCCATGATTATCATGTGTGGTGTTAGTTTACATCAGTGGGTCCTCTCATGAAGGTGTGTGGATCTCTCACCTCTCTCCAAATTGTGGTTGTGTGTTTGATACTGAAACAGATGAAGACTGCTGATTGGCTGAAGTAGGGTGCAATATATATTTTTGGTTTTTGGTTTGGGCAGTGCTCACCTCTACATTAAATAAACTGCTGCTCGTGTGTGTTTGTAGGTTCTCGGCCATCCAGCTCATGGTTGTCTAAGGAGCCTGGAAACACTTCAACCACCCGGAAATACCCAGCCTGCAGAGTACATCATATGATTTATTGATTTATTTTGTGTTCATGTCACATGGATGGATGTGAAATTAATTTATGATTGTTTTGTTTTTTTGTCTGTTTCTAGAGGAGACGTCGTTCAGGTTGCAGGACTTGGTGGTTATAGAGTAAATGCCACCGGCCACACATGTAAGACCATATTTTGTTTGATTATTTCACAGTTAATGCTAGAATCTGATTTCGGTTTCTGTGACTGTTTTATACTTACATTTATGTTTTTTGTTTAATACTGTATGAAAAACAAGTTTTTTTTCCTTTTTGTAAATTTTGGAGTAGATATACTGTGTGCCAAGTTCCTTGTTTAAAAATCATTTGGAAACATAAAAAAAGACGAAACATCATTTTACTCAAAATTTTAACTTTTGAAAGATTATGAATAACTTTTGTTCTTTTCCTTTTTCTCTAGTCCCTGATGAACCACCTAATCTTCAGTGTGCAAACATGTGTGTTGCTGACTGTGAGCCTACCAGATACTCTCAGTGTACTGCATATGTGCCATATAACAACAGGCTGTGTCTGGAAGAACATCAAGTAGATGCACGTGGGGTTAGTTGACTG